TAGTAATAATTACATTTCTTGGTGTCAGTAGGTTTCAGAGATATCAGGGAAATGATAACAACTCACCAATTTTCTTGGGAACTACTTTGAAATACATTGTACTGTGTTTGTACAGTTATAACCTCTTACATTGCATTAAAATGTTTTGTTACATCCACATGCATGTAAACGCAGGATTGGATTTGTCATGCTATTTTAAACATAGGGCAAATGCCTCAGTTTCTATGTTAGACTGGTCATAAGTTCTATTCTTTTATTTATATCTTTATTTATATCTAATATTGCTGTTATACATTATTCATCGTTTTAGATTACATTTACATAAAACTCAATGAAAACACACTCTAGTCATTGTCTCCAAAATACTACAAATGACATATTGATCAACATTTTCTACAAAGTTGGACTATTTCTTGTCCATTCTCTTCGTTTTAATGCATTCATCAAATAGATTGAATAACTTCCAAAAGTCAAGTAAAACACAAATTACTTCAGAATCAAGATTATCAAGATACAAATTATCAGATTTTCGTTTCTCAAATCTCTGTCCACACGTTCAATCTTCAACAGTGTGAAATGCTGCTTGGAAAGGCAACTGACTTAATTATCTGTATGTATCATATTTGAGAACAGCGTTCCAATAATTAATCACAATTGGTGCTATCAATGTGGAACAATGTTTTCGCAACGACCAATAGCGTCCCCCTTGTTAATTACCATTATTTCCAGTCATTCGAACCTAGCCGTTTTTACATCAAGCTCAACTTTTTCAATGAAGAACAGCAAAATCAGCCATCCGTTTGCAACTTCTGTGTGGATCGATTACATCAGGTTATTAATTATCGAGATGTCATCTTCGTTGACAAGAAGAGCGCCAATGACACGCGATAGAAGATCTTAAAGGTGCGAAGGTCCATAGGCGAAGATCCATGCGACTAAAATTAAACGGCGCTGTCTGAAGCTGTCCTAGACCCTTTTAACCGACATTTTTCTAGCAGCGACCTAACGTAACACATTTGTTGCGTACAAATTGTCCTCCCAAATACAAACTAGAAGGACTTGATCTATCAAGGATTCGGACGAGGAGGAACGAAATAGTGAAACATTTAGTGGATCTTACGCAACATCATGCAACTGTGCACTGCCATTGAAGCTGCCAGTGATAGCCTGGTATATATTTATATAATGTTTGAAGGTAAATCGATGAATTAGGAATAGGAGGAATACCTGGTACGAGGTGTCACGAGCCTGGTGAAAGATCTGAGAATATCATTCTCATTCATTTCAAAACCAGGCTGACGCTGATTACATTTGAAATGTACATTGCATAGTAGTTATGAGAAAGTAGATTGAAATAAGCGTGATACACTCTTATCGAAACGTTTCAGTCACACAGAGGTTACGGAATTGTTTACTCGACACCTGGGAAGACAAAGGAAGTGGCCTGAATGGTATTTTAGGCCGAGATTGTCCTTCTGCCAACGTTGACCAACACAAGCAGACGACAACCTTTCAAGATCCTTCTTCCTCGCTGCGTCGTTTCGCTCACACTGCCCGAATATGTAAAACTGACGTCACACCTCCTCGGGAGGAGAGCGCAAAAGGACACCCACCATTTCTCTCTCTCTCTCTCTCTCTCTCTCTTCGCTACGTACTCTGTTATTTTCCATGGAAATCGAAACGAGATCGTCTCTCCATTCCCTCTTTCGATCGACTTTTTTTAAAAAAACATTTCCCGATCGTATTTTATCCAACGTTTCGTTCATACTGATTCTATTGATTCCACTGATTCGATTCTGCGTTGTTTGCCGTCTGATCACTTGCTTATGTTGCTCTCTGACTAATTTGTCGAGTAGGCTATTGCCACCCACGTAGCGCTACATTTTTCTCGGAAATACTCTCGATTACGCGGGACTTCTTTACTCGCGTAAAATCCCACGAACGATCGTTTTTAGAACGATCCTCGATCGAGAGAGAGAGAGAGAGGTGCTTGGAGGATGTTTCGTAGCGAGCTTGAACTTCCAATCAAATTAAAAACCGCACGTGGACGATCTCTGCCTCGAAGGCAGATTTCACTTGTTGTTAGAAAATCCATCAACTGTGTTCTTCGAATGTTTGTTCGAAATTCTCGACGACGAGAATGCCTACTTTTTGACTGACGTTCGTGAGGCTCGCGATGCGTGTTCTGTGGGGACACGTTTTTAGGCAAATATCATCAGTCTATCTGTTTGCACGATCGATGCAGGAAGTATTACAGTTTACGCCACATTCTTCACCGTATCTTCTACTCACTGAACACTCCTGTTATCTTATTGAGTGACTCAAGATCACGAACGAATATTAGAGAGTCGACTTGAAGAATTCCAAACTTAACTCGTAAGATTTAATTACGAAAATGTGACCAAAGATCGAAGAAGAACACATTGTGAGAAAAGATACCGCAAGCTCGAAGGATGTAACTACGTGCGCAAAAGTTTGAAAAGGCTGCGAACAATTAATATCCGAAACAAGAGAATGATTTACATCCAACAACGAGAGTAACGAGACCGCCTTGTAGCCGATCTTTCCATTCTTGGAGTAGTGCCCAGATCATTTCTCGGCTCCGGCGATTATGTTTGGACGAATGTCAAGACCAAAACTGGTACGTGTCATTTATTAACGATCAACGTGATACCTAGGCATCTCCATAAGTACATTCTCCATAGTAAATCCATTGCTAACAGCAGCTCTTTCAGATTACCATGAATCATCAATTACACAAAAAGAAAATCCTCTTTCAAGATGATTCATCGTGGAATCATCTTTCAATTATCCAAGGGGCATCAAAGCAAATCAATTAGCTGAAGATTATATGCTTCAGAGTCGATTCCATTTGAATTTAAGGTTCATGTTGATGGAAGAGGGATTGCTTTATTTTAGGGGCACTAGGTTATTGAGGAAACAAATTGCACTTTGTTATATGTTATTTCACGTTGTAATCATTTTTATTGTTTACGAGCGACAGCAGGAAATGTCTCGAGCATAGACGTTTGTGGAAGTAGAACTTCTAAGGGTCGAACTAACAATAAGTAAGATGTCTTGACTACTAGGGTGCATCCCTTATATGAAGCCAACTCTCTTTTGTGCCCTTCTCAATCACATGATTGGGAAAGTAGGGTTTTCCTGATAGAATTGCACCGTTGGGCAAAGTCAGTAAAATAATTTTCACAATTACTTTATGGGCCTGAGGATCCTTCATTCTACGTTTACGTTATTTGGATAGTGTCCCCTACTGTTTGTAATTTTTCTGTCCGATGAAAGGTCAAAGATACTTTTCAATAGAAATATTTTCCACCAGGTATCTTAGCTTAGTTCCGCATGAAAGGATCTTATACTCGCAAAATATGTAAAGCAGTTGAAAATACTGTTCAGCAACATTCATTGATTTAAAACTGAAAACTAGCATAACATAATTGAGATTCTATTGGCTGTTTCATTGTAGAAAGTCAAAGCGATGAATCCAATGCCCATGGAAGGCTTTAATCCTTAAGAACAAAAGTTTGGAATTGCTAATAACTTTGTGGTAAGAAGTTTCTCAGCAACGATTAAAATGAATTGCAATTTGAAAAGTGGGAGTTTCACGAGGGATTTGATCATTTCATTAGCAACGGCCCAAATACTTGCAAAAGCTACAGAATCGACACATATTGATTGCTGAGAGCTGTTTAAGGGCTGCGTGGTTCTCAGAGCAGCCTCTCCTGCCCGCGTTACGAACACAATAGGCATCCGAAACATTCGGAATTGCGCGTTACGTAAGCCAGCTCTCGAGTCCAGTTTCTTCGCCGATCAGAAGTGGAGGGAGCACCGATGAATTTTAAATATCGAAGACCCGTTCCTTGCGCCGCGTTAAAACGCAACGCTCCTCCTGGCTGATCTACTTCTCCGACCGGGCTGAATGGTGCTCCGCAGCAGTCTTTTCTCCGAAGAAGTCACTCGCCCCGTATTCTCTTCTGCCTTGCACGGGCAGTTTTTCCACTGGTCACCGTCGGTGTCTTGAGAAACGGTTCAACGGGTCGAGGAGATCAGCCACTTTCATCTTTTCACAGTTACTTTTAAGAACCGCCTATCCAGGTTGCCGAGAACATCCTGGAGGGGAAAAAAAAAGAAATGTGTCGTTCGGTGTAAGATTTTCAGATCATTGATCTTGAGAATGGAATTATCTGTCGTGCGAGGACAAGAGTATGAAGTGGTAGAAAGGGTGTTCTTCTTCTCTCGTGACAAGCGTGTTGGAAAGACGCCCACGACGACCCACGTCGACGATGACTGTTCGCGTGGTTTTACCTGCAAACAGTGTTGGCTCTGCCTTGTGTAGGTAGGCCAAAAATCACTACCGAAACCGGCGTGACTCACAGATTTCGCGATCTCTGCCTCCCCCGCCCACCCTGCCTTGCCGTGTGATCACAGCAGATTTATTATAATCCTGAGCTGCACAGGATCCTTCGTTAGTTCATGGATTGGCGAGGCCCATTACGTCCACCAGACGGGATGATGCGTTTCGTCGGATAAAAAGGGTATACGGATAGGGCTGGCTGCGGTTCGTTTAATCTTTTCTTTTAGATAGAAGAATTGGTGGAAGATTCGTAAGAATGGGAAAGAAAAAAAAAAAAAAAAAAAAAAA